ACACTACATTCTGCTATCTGCTCTTCTCATTTCCTAATAATTTAGATAAGTGATTATCTGATGATTTAAAGTGCATTTAAAGTTGGTTCTCAAATGATTAGCTGATCCTGTTGAGAAGCAAAAATGGCAAAAATCAGGAGTAAATTTCTCATTCCTGAAACAGCAGAGTGTGAATTTCACACTCTTGATCCGACATACATGCACTATTGGTATGCATCAAAACTGACTTACATCCTTCCGAGACATTAGAGGAGTTGATGTTTCAAAACTTTTGCTAAGTTTCTTACATTTATACTCGTATAACTGAAAATGGGAAACTGTTACAGCTGTAAGCTGAAGTTACCGCTCAAGCTTTAAAGAAACCCAAAATTGCTTCTGGAAATTGAAAGCCTGAGTTTTTAAAATCTTCAGTTCGCAATCATTTGCTGAGGTGGAAAGCACCAGGGGTGGACAAAAATCATACTCAAGGAAGAGTAGCTCCACTTCAACATATTTTTATTCAAATAAAAGTAAAAAGTAGCCGTCCAAAAAAAACGTCTACTCAAGAAGTGAGTAACTGATCAAATTATCAATCCTTTAATATTTAAAAATGGAATCATCAGACAGACCAAAATATAAAGTTAGGAGGAAATTCTGGTATCTTAAGGACGGAAATGAAAATAATTCATACAAGTAACAAAAAATGACAATCAGCCAAAATTAAAAAAAAAAAAAAAATCCAAATCAGTTTTTTCCAATAAAAAAAACTAATAATACTAACAGAAACTGCAGGTGTGTGTCTGTGTCTGGTGAATTTTTGGTTAAAACATGTTTGATCTTCATTCAGTGGGTAGAAAATCCAGAAATGTTACTGAAGTGAGAGTAGAAATACTTCATAATTGTTCTAAAAAGTACAAGTAAATGTAACTGAGTGACTGAAAACCGCAAATGACTTTATCAAAACGCCTGAGCGGATTTAGAGTTGAATGGCCTTCATGAAGGAGAAAACAAAGTGATGTGTGTTCAGAGAGGTGTGTGACGATGTGTGTGTCTGCATAATGTACATTCCCCTACTTCAGAAAGCCAACCACCCTCAGAGTCTCCAATGGCTTGGGGCCCTTCTAGCTCCCATGGGGGCCCTTGATCCAGCCAGGATTCCTCCACGTGTGCACCAGGCTTTCTGGGACTGAGCTAGACAAAAGAGATGCTCCTGCCAGTGCAGAGCTGAACCCAGCAGCAGCAGCAGCAGCAGCAGCAGCAGCAGCAGCAGCAGCAGCAGCATCCTACTCCACCTAAAGCGCCCCATTCGTTCCTCCTTCGGCTCCCAGCATCCCCAGGTCCAGTTAGGCAATGGGAGCGGTGACGGCGCCCGTGCTGGGGGAAGAAAAGGCCCCTCAGGAGTCTGGAAACTGAATAAAGGAATGCACAGAAAGAGAGAATAAGCATTTTTCATGCTTTTTTTTATGTTTAGTGCCATTTCCCAAAATAATGTAGGCTTCAGAAAACAGGAGGTAAAGATTTATACGGAATCACTTTCATGCACACCCATTTCCACACGTAGACACACACAAGGATGAGCACAAAATGCCAGTTTGGGGAACGTTGCTGTGAATACCTGATTCTTCCCCCTCTTTTTTTCTTTTTTACTCCTCATCTCCCTTTAAAAATCTGCAAATCCATTTGCTAAACAGCTGCACCTCTGTAGTGTACAGATAACAACCTGGGCCAGACTGGCTTTGCAGCAGCGAGTGGAGGCAGATAGGCCCAAATCTCTGGCCCTTTTTTCCAAAATGCTAATGACGAAGGAAGCACTTCTCCAGCCAAAAAAAAAAAAAAAAAAAGGAAAGAGAGCGCGCAAGAGAGAGAGGGAAGGCTCTTGTAGATTTGTCAATTGCTATTTTGACAGATATTTGCTTGTAAGTACACACAACACTTGTTCCCTGCGTCTTATCTGGTGCTGTGCAGAACACTGACCTACATTACATAAAGCACAATATGATGCACAAACACGCTCAGTTCAATGAAACGCTTTTATCTGTTTGTTTTTTTTATCACTCCCCCTCTTCTCTGTTTTTCACCTTAAAAACAGATGGATTCAAATGAAATGGCTGCAAATCCTATGAACAGAAGGTATTCTTTCTCAAATAAAACCTTGTGGCTTAAAGGGAGAATCTTGCGACCATCTCCGGATGTTTGATTGCTCCTCAAAGGCCCGAGCAACTGCATTCAGAGGAGGAGAGTAAATATTGGAAATATTGCCACAGCTGCTCGTTTGCACCATCCCCAGCTCTCCGTTATTGCCTCAAAACGGCACAGTCCCTGTCACAGACTTTCCAACAGAAGAAGCACAATGGCACAGAATATATAACATGGATTGTTGTGGCAGGCAGTCGGGGAGCAGGAACAACTAAACGCGTCTTACCTGCAAACACTTTGGTGGAAACTGATGGTTTCCAGCAGGGAGTTTAAAAATGTTTCAGCCGACAGGTTGGCTCTCTCATCACCTGAGGACACGTTTAATAAACTTCACAACATGAAAATCTGCTTAATATTAGTTTGCAAAGATGGAAAGTCTTTTATGGTTTACATTTTTTTCATATTTTGTACCTAAAGATTAAAGAAGGTCCAGAGAAATTGTCATGTCTTAACAAACTAAACAGACCTGTTGTATTCTGGAGCGAGGAGAAAAAACTTTCCAAATACCAAAATATCAACATATTTTCTCAAAATCTGCTGCCACAATTCAACAAAACAACAAAACTATAACATCAAAACCCAGGAAACTGTGTTGATGTCCTACATGCAGATAATTAACAACTTGTTTTTAGTTTAGTTTGTTAGATAACAGGTAGAACAAACTGACGAATATCATCAGACAAAATCAATTACTAAACAAGTTGGGGGTGAAATTTTAACACAATATTTTGCAGAACTATCAGCAAAAGTGACAATAACAACTATTTATTGCTTTTTTTTAGGTACCTGTATGGATGTGACTGGATGGCACAGCAATCAGTTCCCCACAAAAACAAATGCTGCTCTTAAAAAACATTCCCATTTGCAATATGCTGCTTTATTATGACACCAGTCACATAAAGAAGTGTTATTTGTATCCCCCTGGTAACTGTATTCAATCATATTTTCAAACTTAGTGTTATTTATTGATGCTCACTTTGAAGAAACAGTGGAGAAAACAGTGAAAATAATCTCAACAATACAGTTTTAATACATTATCAATCGGAATTTATGGTAAGAAATTGATCACAAATGATAAACGATAAAGGCTCACCCCCAACTCCACTCTGTAAAAATTGTGACATGGAGCTTCATGCCAAATGTGTATTACAAACTTTATGAATATCATCAATATCTTTTGCTGTTCCTAAACCTGGATAAAACAGGAAGGTTTGAAAAATCAACTTTAAGACACATTTAAAAAAAAAAGTCAGAAATCTGAACCTATTGCTAACTCTTTTCAGCTCTCTCCTTGTCCAAATAATTAATATAGTTCTGATTATATGATTACAAAATCAATCATCAATCTTTTGGCCAAAGTTTCCTTGTGTTTTAATAAGTCCTCCCATCTTAATCACAATAACTTATCTAGAACTGGAAATACTTCTGCACAAACTACATCTTGAACTTATTTCTGTCTAAAACTCTGTATATTTTATCTGAGATAAAAACATTCAGCCATTAGACAGCAGCCATCAATCTCATCAGCTGCAGAAGGATGTGAAGCTAATGATTTACTATTTAAAAGTTGCACTTGTGACTTTACCAAACTCTTCACAGATAAACAACACTGTGACCACAGCATTCTCCACAACCAGCTATTACTTCCCATCAGCTCAAGTCTTAGTCCTCCACAACGTAATTGCAGGTTTATTTTCACTATAATTATCAGTTCACTTAATTGTATTTTCATATTAGAATGTATAGCTCCCCCCATGCACCATGCATACATCAGGCTGTTTTTCTATAGGATGCTTTATTGTTAATGTGCTTTGGGGTTTGACCCAACTTTATGCTGAATGGCAGGTAGAAGGCAGCATGAGTGGGAGGTTTTCCCCTGCAAGGCCTGGAGAAAGATGAGGGTTTCTTTTTATGTGGGGTAGTTTGCATCAAAGTAGCAACGAATAGATTAATTCAGACAGTGAGTTCATCTGAAATCTGACTTTTATTGTGTGTTTAAGATTTTTGTTTCAAAATGCTGAAAACAAAATGTAGCAGTCTTTAAAATACAAAAACTCTGGTTTTTGTATTAAGATGTTTTTTTTTTCTTTTGATTTTGTCCTGTTACTTTTCTTTCAAGAGTTATAGCCTACTCAGATCAAGTCCTTAAATCCTTTCTATGTTTGTTTCCACTGAGCCCCTTTATGATGACCCATTACTGATTAAAGGGTCCCCAATATGCAAAATTCATAGTTTTTTTTTGTTTTTGTTTTTTTTTGCATTTTGTACTTCCGTTTGTGTTCATTTCCTTCTGAAAACAGTTGGTTTTTGGCAAAAAGTGAACGTCGTTTGATGTCTGTAAAATGAGTCGCTTCAAAAACCTCTGGGATGTGACATCACAAATCAGCAGGCACTGCCCCGTTACCTAGCAACCCAAGTGAAGTCCAGCCCGTTACCTAGCGACACAAGCTGATCTCCAGTATGTTTGGTCAGCTGGTTTTACTGTTTTATGCGCTGTACAATGGATGCTGGAAAATATTAATGTTTTGTTGTTGACTTACCATCCAGAAACCACTCGCTGCTTCCTTGTTGGTTGTGCGGGAGGCTCCACTTCTGCTTGTCAAAGATGTACGGTCGTTTAATTGTGCATCTCTTTGCAGCCATCTTCATGTGTGGGTATAAACATGAGTTGAGAGGTCATGATAGCAGCAGCTTATTTGGATTTAAAGTGACAAGAGGCCCTAAAACAGCAACTGATCAGACTAAAATCTCATTACCAAAGAATGATTTTGTGGAAAAACTGAAATGAACATCTTTTGTTAGGCCCATAGACTTATCCTAACCTGTTCAAGGAAGCATGGTAGGTCACCTTTGAAGTCACACAGCTGGTGGGTGCGACTGAACACAAAAAGGATGAAGCAGCTGACTGGAAACGATTTAGCTTTTGACTGACAGATTGTAAACACAATAGGCAGAAATGTGAAATATATGGGACGTCTGACAGATCACCCAAAAACATCTGTTTTCATCTCGACAATGAAATCTTACATGTTTTAGTCATGAAAGAGCCATGTTTTGTTGTCATCTGTATCAGATGGGCATCACACATGTGATGCTCCTTATTTTCATCTTCCCCAGAAGTTATCCTGTTGATTTCCCGAATGTTTTCGTTCAGTATTCTGTTCAATTCCACAGTGAGAACCCATTTTCAGTTTTCTGATGAAGTCTACCAGATCTTTATTCAAAATGTCCTCAAATATTTATCCTCTTTCTCACTCCAAAGCTACTCGCTTTGTAGGTTTTAGTGTGAGATGGTATTGCAGTTTTTTCCCCTAGGTTTACCTCTAAACAGCTGGTTGGCACAGAGCTATCATCTAATGGTTGTTATGGAGACTTGATGACCCCAGGATATCACTCTCTGCAGCAGTTATCTAACAGTGAGCTTTCAAGATCCGTTTCTACCTCATTTACATCCTCAAAATTAAATATTTAAAAATACTCCATTTTGAAAATAAATGGCTTAAATACAAAAATGGCATAAACATTAAAAAAACACTTTTCTTTATTTATTTGAATTACCTTAACATACAGTCTTTATGCTCCACAAGGCTGCACCAACAAGCAAAAGTGGAAGCTTTTTCTCTTCTCTCTCTAATACCTGCAACCGTCATGAAATTAATTAAAACTGGATTATTTTTGGCAGTTACCTGAACAGATTGGAGCTTTACACATCTTTCAAAGCAAAACCTTCTTCCAATATACAAAAATGGTGCTCTAATTTGTGCATCCTGTTCTTAAATATGTGTTTAAGTGAATAAATGTCATCACATAGTTAGCAAAAGCGCATAAAAAGCTCAGAGTTGGCCTCATTTGGTACAATAGACCTTAATGCAGCATTTGAACGAGGCCGTCACCACATGCAGCCCAGAGAAAGCAGACAAGACAGAGTAAACAGTTTGTTCCTGTGAACAGCTCGATGCCAATCAGCGATTAATGAGGCGATGCTGGAACCACCGGCTGAGGGAAGTTAAACTGAGCTGAATTAAGGAGCAATATCATCCCTCATGCAGGTGCTCGCCGAACGAATAACTGCTTTAATTACTGTTATTCAATCATTGCTTTTTTTCTCCGCCACATCCAAATGCCGCTCTGGTATTATCCCTTTTTCTCGTCAAATTACAAATGCCTGTCACAGACGTCCTACCTGCGTGTTTTGCTCCAGGCGCCAAAGCATATGTGACCCTCGCAGAAAAATAAAACGGTGCACATTGCGGGAGGAGGAAGAAGGCCCGACTGTAAGGTGCAGTTTGTCGAGTCCCTGGGCTTGAATGGGTCCTTATCTTGGTTTACATACTCAAGGTGGAGAGGTTTGTGGCGGGCTTTGATGGGAAACATCTGTGTGTGATATGGGGGCTCTTCACGGGTGGGGGTGGAAAAAGTGGGCGTCTTTGCACCTGCTTCGGAGCACCGACTTAACAATGCTTATTATTTCTGATGGAGGAGGAGGATGTTGTTTTCGCCACCACACACTGTTAAGATGAACACAATAGTTATAAGTGGCAGTGTGACACCTGTCAACTTTAACGATGTCAGATATTAAATAATTTGAAAAGCCCTTTGTAGCAGTTAGTAAAACTACTTGAAATCATACGTATTTGTATAAAAGATTCTCATCAGTTTCATGAAATGAAATTTCAATCTCAGATGGTTTAGCCTTGAAGAGCATAAGAAGCTAACGTATTGAGGTTTGTATCACATATATTCTCAAAACAAGTCGCATCATATATCTATGTATATCAAATAATAGATAGTTTGATATAAAAGTAATTACATACTTCAGAGAAAGAAATTAGATTAATAATGTTTCTAAAATGCATGGTCAGTAGATCGTTGCCTGTTTGCACTTCAGTATTGGCTGATTTTTGGAATATGATTCAAAATTATTAGAGGAAAATTTGCAAAATTATAAAATATATATGAAAAAAAGCTGAAATACAAAGTTGCAACGCATTTGTGAAATAACCAATCCTGGAGCGATATTCATTTTTCTTATTATTTGGCTGAGAGCTGAGAAAACATGAATGGTAGCTGCCAGGATGATATTCACTCCACGTATTTCAGTTTTTTAATCTGCTTTAGTGCACTTTTGTTTTTTATGCACTTCACACAATCAGCAAAACGTCAGATTATTTGCAGAAAGAAATACTTTTTTGTAACGACCCAAGTCTAGTAAATAATAAAACAGATCATTTAAACGTCGTCCAGATATCTCTGCCCAGCTGATGTCAACATTAGAAGAAATGCTGTCATTAGCCAGGCACTGTGGGAAGAATCCTCTGTATTGATGCTGCTGGACATAAGTTTGGAGATAAAACACCTTCTACCACCATGTTGATGATGATTCCTCTGTGGGGCTTTTTCAAACTACTTCCAAACTGGATCTCTATTTCTGACTGGAAGCAGTTTGTTCTCAAGGTTACCAACATCTGATATCCTAAAGAAAAACAGCCAAGAATGGATTTAGCTCTAAAGTTTTCTAAGTTCTAAACAAGCAGAAAAAGACCTTAATGTTTATTTGGCTTGTATGACATGAATATAAAGTTTTTCATAACAGCTTCAAGTCACAAGTCTTGCATTTGGACAAGGTTTAGCAAACTTAGGAACATAGAAAATTATTTCTGGTTTAATCTAATAGTTGAGTTGAAGTGTTATCAGTTATAAAGGCCGTGATGAAGGACTTGTGCAAAACTCAATTGGCCTGCTGACGATCGATCAGTCAGTGGATTTGGTGATGAGCCGTCATTCACTTTCTAGTTGATGGGTCTTCTTGCCATCATTTTAATTTTTAGTTCCTGCCTCTAATACCTGCAGCCATCATGAAATTAATTAAAACTGGATTCTTTTTGGCGGCTACCTGAACAGATTGGAGCTCTTCATATCTTTGAAAGCAAAATCTTTTTCCAAAATACAAAATTATCTTCTAATTTGTGCTTCCTGTTCTGATCTTTCTTCTTAAGGAAGTCCAATACTATCTGTCATGAGACATGAAGGATTAGGAGATGTTGTCTTCTGCAAATCTTACAGTTAAAGTCGAGATGTACAGTAATTATTATACAGGAAAAATACACCAACACTGCTGATAGCATTACTAAGTGCTTATATAAGATCCTAAAGACAATTTAAAGAAACAGTAACGATGTTTTATTTGATCTGAAATATATGTGTTTTACTGCAGATCTGTGTGATGCTGGAAATAGTAGAAAGTCCTCTTCTGACAAAAGTCAAAAACCAAAACCAAGACTTTGGAGTGACCTAGTCAAAGTCTAGAAATGTGAATACATGCCAGTGCTTTAACATAACCTTAGACTGGCCATTCTGCAAAATCAAGTGGGCCAATTTTTCTCCACTGCCGTGGAAAACACTTTTATGCAGTTATCTGAAATTTTACTACCACCTGTTGGTTTGTTATTTATTAGCATTTTTCTTTGGATCTTAAACTTTTGCTCACCACCAGTAAATTTAAATAAAATACCAGAATTTTACTAGAAACAGCTGCAACAGAAGGGTTTATTAAACCAGAATTGATATAAAATTAGGCTGTTTTTTTTTTTTTTATAAACATTGAATAGTTGAATATAGAGTACAGTGTCATTATACAGAATAGTTTGCGTGGTTGAATTTATTCTCATGAGTCATTTGGATGCGTGGAATGTATGGTTTTAAAGCTTTTGTTTTCATTTAAATGACTTAAAGGTTTTAATCTGTTGTGTGAGGTGAAACAGATAAAATGTGACTTGAATTCCCCGTAGAAAATGGAGGGGTGGCATGCGTTTTTAAGCATATTGACAGAAAGCAATCGAGGTGACTTTTCTTAGAGTCAGAGGATGCAACTTTCTCTCCTGAGCTGCACGCTGAACGGCGTCGATCCCCTGGGACGGCAAATAGAGATGTTACCGCTCCAGAGGGGAAAGAGGCAGCTTCCAGCTTTTTATGTTACGAAACATAAAGCACTAATAAGAAAAGGAAGGGAGAGTCTGAAAATAAAGAGGAGTCTGTTTATGATAAATATGAGGTCTGTTCTCCCTTAAGGGACAACAAAATGGCTGAAAATAAAATGGGATGAGTCTGTAGTCACCGTTTAAAGGATATGTGATGTACGGTTAAACTGAGAAGTTTGCACCCACTTGGGTATTAATTATCTTAAGGTTTTTAATAATTTATTAGATTTTATATTTTTTTTAACAGCTTCAATGAATTTCAGAAACATCAGATGCAGAAGTTTACGTTTATTGGAGACTTTCTCTAATTCATGCAGACAAGCTCAAACATAAAAATAGACCTAACGTTTGCCTTTATATCAGCAGGTTTCCTGGCAAAACAGAACCTCAGCATGATGCCACTTCCACCATGCTTGAAAGCTGGAACACTTATATTTAAACATCTTTGTTTCATTCCTCTAAGCACTAATGATTAGAGCTGTAAAATAAAAGTCCTCAATTTTAAAGAAAAGATCTAAAGGTCTGGCCAAAGTCATGTGAAATATTTTAGGATCCAGTGAAACCAAACTTGAACTTTTGGGCCACAATAGACAATTCAGTTCAATTAAGTTTATTTATAAAGCACCAATTCATAACAAATGTCGTGTGAAGGCACTTTAATAAAATAAAGATAATTTAAATTCAGTCATTCACACATTCCAGTTATCAGACAGTACAGTAAGCTCAATTAATTGTTCAAACTAATTATAAAAGTTTCTGTGTGTCGTTGACCTTACTGCACTAAGTATGCATGTAGCGACAGTGGAGAGGAAAAACTCCTCCTAAAGGAAAAACATCCAGCAGAAAATCAGTGTAAGAAAAATCCCTTCAAATTACCAAAGAACAGGCTCGCAATGAACGAAGGTGGTGGCAGCATCATACTTTGGGGTTATTGTTCTCAATGAAAGTTGGTGTCAATAACAAACCTTCAAGTGTGTGCTAGACAGCTGACAAAGATGAGAGATTTTGTCTCTGTGACGCCAAGCATACAGGTAAGTCAACCAAAGAACAACTTTAAGTGTACTGCACTTTTTATTTTTTTCTTCTGACAGATCTCGTTTTGAATAAATCGGCCCTGGAATTGCCGTTATAGGATAAATGACAAATTATATGTGAGCAATTTTCAAAATTCATCATCACAGCTTCATATTCTCTCAGATCACAAAAACCTGACATCTTCACAAAGATATCTACAGGTTTGACAGTCTCTATGTGTCTCAGGATGTGCAAAGATTCTATGTCTCAGCTCCACTTTGTGATTTAGATGGATAACAAACCTGTTTACTCTGGCAAGATCTTTCCAAAGCAGCAATAAATATCTTTGAATTCAATCGCTGTTTAGACAAACATCTCCAAAGAGGGGTTTGTCTGGACTCACATGAATCCTGTTGTTGAGCCCCGTCTGGGTGTCCTTCTTGGACTCCCGCCCAACAACGTGACCTCCCAGGTGGGCTGCGGGACACACCCAGCTTCCTGACCTTGGTGTCCCAGCTTCTGTGGATTAACAAAGCCCTCTGCCTCCTTTGTCCCCCCCAGGAGCGCCTTTCTCTGTCACTCTGTCTCCTGCTTTGAAGCAAATGATTTTCTGTAGCTGATTGTATACGTTCTTCTGTGATCTGCAGACAATAAGACAATGACTTACCCTTGTAGTTGTCAGTGCATCTTGTTCTTTCCTGGCAACGTTTATCTTCCTGGATTCTATTTTTTTTTGTGCATTGTTTTGTTTTATTGTTTATGGTCGATTTTGCAAATGGATGTTTATTCTCATCCCTAATGAAATCTGAAAATCAATTTATTTGCTTTGTTTTGTAACTTTTCTCGCCATGACAGGTTGTTTGCCAAAACATAATTTCAAATGTAAAATAACGAATTACAGACTTTGAATTTTATTCAAATGATAAAAAAATGTCATCTTTTGTTTAATGCTTGGCTGCATGGTTTGATGGAACGCACTTTAATTTTCCGAGTGTAATCTCTTTGGCAACTCTGTAGAATATTGGAAACTTTCATCAGAAGCAGAGGTGGTTTCAGTAACAATTAAAGTTTGTCAAGTAGAAAATATCAGTGATTCGAGAGGATAATGTGATAGATAAAACTTTACAGACAACTGTAATGGCCGTTTTTCTTTCTTTGGAGCCAGTAGGTTTGCTTTACAGCGTGTCTGCAGAAATAAATGTGAACTGTCCACAAATATGTTCAGCCTTAATTTTAGTGGAAAATCTAGGAAAAAGGATAAAGATACATATTTTATGTTTGCAAAGCACATTTAGTTTTTTTTTTCTCTATTGACTTAAATAAGAAAAAGAAGAAGACTCT